GCTCAGCTTACTATTATTCCTACCCTAGTCAAGAATAGAAAAAGCTCGAGTACGTGGTTCGGAACAAGTTCGTTCGGCTGAGATCTTGCCTCAATAGGCTAAGATCGGTCTTCTCTTTATATACTCAGATATCTTGCCTTTGTCCGATCGCTTTCGTTCATCAGAGGTAGTGGACAAGGAGAGAACTCGGCATCGTGCAATTCCATCGATCTGGTCAATTCATTTCCTTTGATTGAGACGCTGCTCTACTCTTTTGCTTTGGCATTGCCATACGAGGGAGATCGCTCAGTGACATGTAAAAATGGAATTTTCGTCTTTCAATCTGAACTGCTTGGCCGGCTTGGGCTTGGGACAGGCTTGCTTGAGCGGATATGCGAACAGCAGATATGATCACAGTAGCTGCTACTTCTTTCTTAAAAAGAGGAGAAAGAAAGCCGACCCTTTGGCTCGCTTCCGACTGTCTTGTCCAGAATGACTGGAATGAGACCGTAAGCGTGCTACCAACCCTTTGTCCCCTTGCTTCTTTGGCTCACTGCTTTCTTGGGTGATTATCCCTTCTAGTCCTCTTGTCTTACGAAAGAGCGGATTCAATAGCTGCTAGGAAGAAGCACTGATTAGACCGAGACTGGAATGAGAACAAGGGACAACAAAAAGACCAATGGACAGCTAGCCTTGGGAAGAAAAGAGATTAGTTGAAAGCCTATTCGCTAACATCCTCATCTGGAAGAGTTCGTTCTGTGGCTTCGCTCCTCTTCTGTGAAAAAGGCTTGCGGGAATATGGGGCACATCCCGAGGGGAAGGGAAAGATCGTTCCATGATTGACTGAGAGCGGACAAATATTGTATGATAAAGCACTATCTCTCCTTTCTTTCCCTGGCTCGTTTGCTTCTTTCTTTCCTCATTCGTGCATCTAGGATAGGAGAGCAGCAGCTACTTCTTGACTTTCAACCTACGACCGAAGTCAAGTCCTCTTCTTTTATCCGTATACAAGGGGGAATCCTCACAGTCAGATAGCTATGAGTGAAAGAAGAAAGAGAGTTTCGAGTTTACCGTAGCTACTTCTTCCCCTAGCATGACTTTCCCGGTTGGGGAAGATAAAGAAGTTCCCCTCCAATCCAACACTTATTAGTCGAGTAGTAACCCCCTCTCCATCAAAGCACCTGCACTTTAGAGATTGATTGGTTGAACCAGGAGTCTCATCCCCCTATAAAATAAAATACCTAAGAGTTAGTTATTGTTATGACCAGCCGAAAACTGGTCCTCCAGATGCCTTCTAACCGTCCTTTTAGCCTATTCCCGCTTATGCTTACTTCATGGCTGATAAGCCTACAGACGCTTGACGCCCCGGAATAGCCTTGCTTTCACGTTCCCCCTCTTTCCTTAGATCAGGTTAGCGCTTATGCTGCTTTACGCAACTATATTCAATCCATTGAGTAGAGAGGGCAATGGAATCAGTCGTCATCCTTCGCTCTTGTGGGACTCGAATCCACTACATAGGCTTTTTTTCCTTGTTCTACCGAGATGAACTAAAGAGCGTGAAGGTATTTAACCAAGCCAATGGAGCTTGCCTGGTCTTTCTCGCCTTTCACCGAGTCTGGGATCGATCCCATCTACCATTTCGACAGGAGATTAGATTAAACAAGTGCTTTTTCCTCCAACCTTGAGCAATTCGTGTGAACAGATTCAGGTGCGTAGCCTTTTTCCACTATGCCTATCGCCTTGAGCTGGCACTCCTAACCTAAACCATTTAACTGGCACTCCTCCCCTTTCCTTAAAAAACTACTTGCCACTTCCGACAACAGCTAAATCTATGGCACTTGCCTTGGCTTATTCCCTCGGGTACTCCCCCTTTTTTTTAGAATCAAGTTCAAGCATCATCCTATTAAGTAAGGTCTTGGCGTGGCCGCTCTTTTAAGGTAAGCTTTCTTTCCCATCTCTCGTTTCAAGTTCGAATGCTTTTCTGCTTTCTTAACTGTACGAATACGAATAGGAAGCTTGGCAGCTCTGCCAAAAAGGTAGTGAAGATCTTAGCCTGAGAATAAAAGTGATTGTTAACCGGCTTCGCGAAATCCTTTACCTTTTGGCTTACTCGTGGCTAGGCACCTGCCTTCTCCTCGATCAACTATCTACCTCTGAAGAGAGAAGCCTTAATTAATAAATGTAGTTGCGTTCGTTCTCTTTGAAAGTAGATCTTAGGTCGATCAGGTTGCCGGCCCGCAGACCCCATTTCGGAGCCATGCCATGAAATAAAGGAGAGACCCGAACAGAGATCCATATTTCCCTTTCTTTCTCTTGTATTGCTTCTTTTGGTCTTCCTTTTCCACTTTCTAAGGAAACCGTAACGATAAACGGACACTTGTCGTGTGGACAGTCTATCGGGTCATCTGGATCTACTATGGATTTATGACTGAAATCAGTAGTAATTACTCGTACCAGATTATCTATTTTAGTCCATTACCTTTAAAGGATTCACTGGTGCCCCTATCTAAATAAAGAAAATTACCCTGTAAATCGTCATAACCGAACTGCGCCATTATGTGTCCTGTATGGTTCTAACCACTTGGTTTGAAGCTTTCCAGGCGCTAAGTCAAATTTGTTAAGCAGCCTTTTCCAATTGCTTTCTGACGTAACTGCCTATCATGCCAAGCTTGACGCTGTTGCTGTTGCACAGGCGGTTGCGATCTTCCTTGGGCTATCATTCCGCTAATACGAGGCTAACCCGGGATCCGCCACCCGAGACTCCTTTCCTGTCTGATTCGGTTTCGTCTCCAGCCAGCTAGCCTGATGAAGTTCGCTCATCTCTTTCGACGAAAATCCTTGTCGTCCTCTTTTGAACTAGAACTAACCTCCTATCCGCTCGAAGAAGTGCTCTCTCTCATCTGAAGGTCTATAGGAGAAAGGGCTGGTCTTGGTCGAGATTCATAGGAAGAATCTTTCTCACATCCGGGGAGAGCGGAGAAAGGTAAAGCACAACTAGAATGCTTTTTCAGAAAGAATCCCACATAAATATATAAATAAGCTTCCGAAAGAAGTAATGCAATTGGGCGCTTTGAAGTGATGAGGTCTTTATTGAAGAGGGAAGTAGGGCTCCTATTGACTAAAGGTTGGTTCTTCGGTTTCCTTTAGAATGAAAGTATCTATGAAGCCCCTACTACTTATACTTACTTTGTTTGATTCAAAAGGCGAACCCCAACTAGTCGTACGGGGTGGGGTGCTTGTGGTAAGCTGCCTTGGATATTAATTTCCTAAAAAAAAGGCAAAGTCCGGTATTTGACGAAGATCTTTCTATCAATAAATAGGATTTAGTGTTCGATATAAGGGATAGGATCTGCTCTTTCTCTCTCAATTTTTTTTTTAGAGAGAGCAGATAAGATATAACGCTCTAAAAAATAATAGGGATAAAGGATACATAGACATCTAAGGGGATTTCTATTCTATTCCTCTTTAGAGTAGAGGAAAAAAAAAGATATCTCGTTCATCTATCTTTTTTTTTCAGTGCAACACAGGAAAGCGCCCTCTTTTTGTCATCCCTGCAGCTTTCCAGATTTTGTATTGAACATGGCGTAGCTAGGATCTTCAAATCATGTTTGAGCCTAGCCTATCCTATGTTCAAACAACCCACCCCCTCTTTGTTTGAATTTGAATAAGGATGGAAAGAATGCCCGCCAAGTTCAGATAAGGGAATGCTTCCCCCAACCATTAAAGGAAAGGCTCGACGAAGGGAGGGAGATGCGGCGGGGGAAGGGAAGGAAAAGGCTTTCGGAGATCTATCTTTTTTTTTTCATCGAAAACGAAGAAGGCCGAGGATGGCCTACGGTGCGTGTTATATGAAGGAAAGACGCTTTTTCGACCGCGGTGATTGCCTGGCCGTCTCCTCGTTCCATTCACACCGCAGGCCTATTCGGGCTTTGCCTGCCCTTTCTATCTCGGCCCGGGAAAGCGCTGGAAACAACAGAAAGGAAGGGGTCCATGTAGCAGCTGCGTCCGCCCCCTTCTTAGTCAATGGGGCAGCAGGTTCGGCATCTACTAAAAAAGAGAGAATCCACTTGAGATAACCACGCCTCTGCTAGGCAGCGTGTGGAATGGCCAAGAGCGGACCTTTTTGGATATATAATCCAAGTGGAGAGTGGAGTTACGGGAACAGCCGTCTGATGGAAAACTACTTTCACGTTCGGTTCAGAGAGCACTTTATTTTTCGTCGAGAATTATTCGTTCCCTTTCGTGTTAATTCCCCAGCGGCGAATAAAAGACTTTTATTTCCCTATCTATTCCATCTCTCGAGCCCCGAAGAAAACCCCCCTCCCCTTCGGACTCCATATCTCTTTTGACTCTATATATGTGGGCACCTGATATCTATGAGGGTTCACCCACCCCGGTTACAGCATTCCTTTCAATTGCGCCTAAAATTTCTATTTTTGCTAATATTTCACGTCTTTCTAAACCTTGTCGCTCTTCTTTCCTTACAATAGGGGCAGGAAGCACACCAGATGCGTGCGTTGCGTGATTCTAGTTTGTTTTTTGCACTGGACTGGGTGGACAATTGACCGGAAGAGAACTTCGATTCGCCCGGCCAGCTGGCTCTTCTAGGCGGGCAGCTGTGTGACAACACTACAGAGCGAGTGGCTCTTCTAGGCGGGCAGCTGTGTGACAAAACTACAGAGAAAGCGGCGCTTTCGTTTAACATGCTATGGTCTCAACGCCCTTACGAGATAGTGATGAGTTTCACGCGCTCTAAAAAAACCCGCGCGCGGTTAGGAATAGGAAGATTGGCCGCAATCTGAGCGGTACCACCCACCCTACCCTACCACCTATAGGCGGCCGTCCGTTCTACAGCCGCCCGAAAAGGAACTGCAGTGATCTTGAATAGGGATCCTACAGCGATAGATAGAATCCCCATAAAAAGACCACTAGATCGAGCACCAGTTATTTCGTATCCGGTAAAAATCTTGGCTAATTGATCGAAGTGGGTAGCTCCAATAGACCCATAGATCATGGAACAAATAGGGTGGGTAGGCCCAACCACCACACTACACGTATAGACACGAACCCCCCTCGTTACCGTACGTGCGACTCTCACCGCATACAGCTCGCTCAAAGACTCCTAAATCCATCCCGAGCCTTTTCTTCCATTCCACCTCTCCTATCCAATCCTCGATCAAACTTGCGTTCCCCAGGCGCTCTGAAATAAATGGGGGGTCTTTCCTTCGCCTATCGTATGTATCGGCTTGGCTTCGTCCAGAACCAAGGAGGCATTCTGGCGGGCGCGTGCGTGTAGGAAGGCCGACCACTACATAAGCTAAAAGACTACGACGACTACAACGGAAGCGACTCGCTTCTATTCTCGTTGGGATTGGATATATCTGGGGAATCTATAGATCATAGTAGTTCGCCAACCTCTCTAACTAACATACGATACAATTAAACTTCACGGCACGACAAAAAATAAAGAGCTTCGCTCGGTGGGCCTTCCTGCGCTGACGAATGCCTCCTTTCTCTTCTCTGAAGTCTAAAACAAGTGGGAGAGGCAGGATTCGAACCTACGTAGAAAAACTTCAACAGATTTACAGTCTGTCGCTTTTGACCACTCGGCCACTCTCCCCTTCCCGGGCCGAGGCCCCCCTCAATGGGTTCTAAGAAGGAGGGATAAAAACCTGAAAAAAGCTTATTGATTTGATTGAAGGGAAGGAACTCATACTATTTATTAGCTTAGCTAGCGTTCCGCTAGTCATTTAGTCAGTTCATAACTCTGTACAACAAAAAGGGCAAAGCTTCTTTCTACGACAGCTCCCCCCTAGTCGCTTCTGGCGAAGCTGCGAGTTCATGAGCAAGTGAATGAACGAGCCATGTTCCTAAACTAAAAAAAGGAGTGACCATCTTTCTTCCCTTCCTCTATCCCTTCAAAGCCCATAGGGCTTTCATTAGCGCTTTACTAATAATAAAATAAATATATAATATAAGGCTATTCTGATGAGCGAAGCTGCAAGCCTACCCTTCTCGAGCCTACTAAAATAGCTTACCAAGCCTAGTCTAATAGGGCTACAGCAAGCAAGCTTTCCCCCTTTTTTGGGGCTTGCGCCTCACCGCAAGCACTGAATGGATGAAATCTCACACGCTAGGCCTCCTGATCTTCTCTTTATTTATAAAAAGATCATAACAAGATCAAGGCTATGATGAGTTGCAGCTGTGTCTGGTCAGAAAGAACGAATTGAACTCAACTATAGGCCTACTCTATAGTTGGCATACGAGACCTAACTAACTGGATTGCTAGCAGTGATCATATCCCCAGGCTGTTATTCAATTTATTTATTGGCAGATCCAACTTTTTAAATATATATAAAGGCTCTACTGCTAACCGTGATTCTCGTCCGACTCTGAGTGGTGAGTGGGGTAGGCGGAACGTTGTGCGGTAGCAGCCTGCCAGGCATAAAATTGATAAGAAACTTGGCTTTTTGTTGCCAAGAGATAGCAATCTAAGACAAGGGTAATGGGGAAGGTAGATAGCGAGCGAGTGGGTCAAGATGCGGGAGGACTTCACTGGCAAAGAGTGAGTTGCCAGGGTAGGAGAATGAGTTTCCAAAGAATATGAAGGGGGATCATTGAAACAAGCTTTATAGCTTGTGTACAACCTTTGTAACTTCATGGTATACTCATGGATTTGCCAGTTCCTATTTTGAAGGATGCAATTTATTAACCGTTTTAACTCCGTTTAGCACATTCTTTGTTGCTACTAGGGGGTCCTGAAGTCAAAGGAGATTTGACCCCTTGGTGTCAATTAGGTGGTCTGTGGACTTTTCTTTCTCCCCATGGCGCTTTCGGACTAATAGGTTTCATCTTATGTCAATTCTAACTTGCTTGATCTGCTCAATTGGCGACCTTAGAATGTAATCGAAAGAGTGAACATTGCTCTTTTTCTTTCTGTATTCTTGATTTATCTACTAGGTAAATCTGGTTGGTTCTTTGCACAAACAACTTTTTGATTCTTTTATATAAGTTGCTTTTGAGGCTTCTTCATTCACAAGTGAAGAATTCAACTACTGGTGGTCCGGCTACGTAGCCAAGGCCTTTTTCGCTGACATTTTTTTTTGTTTTTCCTTTGCCAAAGCTGAGTGAGAAAAAATAATCTAGCCAGCACCCAAGAAAAAGGTTTCAGAGAAAAGGAAGGCTGATTCTGATTCTATTCAGCCACAAAGCGAAGGAGCCTCAAAGAAAGTTAAGAGTAAGTTTACTTACCGGGTTGGAACTGCTTCTTTAAAAGCTTGAATATCTAACTCGCCTTGTACTCTTAGGGGATTTACCCATGAAAACAAACGTCTGGAGTGAAGGGATGTGTGGAATCTTCGAAGGGAGCGGCACCTCCGAAGCAAAGAGTCAATTTGTTTTCAACATGAATTCAAAACATTATTGTTGTGTCACTTGTTGTCTAACAAATTCTTTTATCTTTTTGCAGCAATCTCCTTAAGATAGAAGGGCAAAATACTAAATTTGCAAAAGGATTGGCTTCGGAGATTCCATTCCAGATGAAGAGGAATCATAAGCCGAGCAATAAATTAGTGAGGCAACTGCCATGGAGACGGAAAAAAAGGAGCGAGAATCACCAAATGGCTGAACTTTAGCCTCGGAGGAGTCCAGCGAAGAGGAAACGGAAACGGCTGAACTGAAGGGAAAACAAAGTCTGGGTGGCCCTAGAAAAAACGACGATTCAAAGAGCCCGTCTTCCCCTGAGCCAGCAATGCCTGGTAAACATGTAGAAAAGACAGTTGAGAAGGCGGTATCCTTTGGCTCCAATATTCCGGCTCCGTTAGCTTCTGCTTCTGTGGCTCCCTCTTCAGGATCCCCCGGTGAAGGTACCCAAGCTTCTCACACGGTGACTCCGATGTCTCCCTTGAAACCAAGCAGTTCTGCTAAGGGAATGTCCATTATCCTTAATTTAATCTTGCCTGAATTTGCCAGTATTCTTACGTATACGAACCTTCTTCCTCAGTTGCCCCCAATCAGTTCAGTCTCTACTTCGAGTGGCTCCTCGCGCCTTTTTGAGTTCCGTCGTGCACTGCTCGGTTCTCTTAAAAGCCTACTCGGTGCTCTGCCAATGAGGGTTCCCGGTCTCAGAGCCTAAGTACTGAAATTGCCCCCACATCAAGTTTAAGGCTTTGACAAGAGGTGATTCTCAAAGCACTCTGGGATCCGCAGACTTTTCTAGATCAAAGTCTTGTGGCAGTTAGCCAGAACTTGGATGCTTTGAAGGATCCTCTCCAGATCGTAAGGAATCTATCTGAAGAAAGTGGAATTTCCACTGAGGGGAAGGTGGGGTGGATTCATCCTCCAAGCTTGAAGAGGAAATTAATATGACAGTGGGGCAAGTACTCAGTGCTACTAAGAGTCAGAATGAAATTGACTCCAAAATCCAGACCTTCATTCAGCAATCGACCAAAGCCCGTGAGTCCGTGGCAGTGTGCGAGAAAATAGAAAACGATTTAGACTCAATGGATGCCGAGGCTGAAAATAAATCTAAAGGAAAGGATCAGATTCCGAGGCTCCAGGAGCTGTTGGCCGCCGTAGAGAAGAGGCGGAGTGATCTTACTCGGGATTATGATTCTTTGATGACCGAGTTAGAGCCCTAGCCCTATCACCTAGGCTTTCTTAATTTCCTGAGCTTGCCATTCCCAGCCCCTAGAAGAATAAATACCCGTACACACAGCCCAATTCTTTAGTGTGGTAGGACTTTCTTTGATGACTGATCCCGTTCCTACCCATCACAGTAAACGAGAAAAGAACTGTAGGCAAGAAAAACTATTCTCTCCTTACTATGGTACTCAATTCGATCGGGTGTTTACTACTGAAATGCAGTTTCACTTCTCGGAATTAGAAGAAGGTAAGATGACTATAGGCAAGAAAGAATTGAACCTAAGGCTTGCCCCCGAGAAAAAGGCTACTTACTAGCTTTGCGATAGGAGCTTGCGCGTGGGCCCAAGCTCTTCTATAGGAAATAAAAGAGCATAGAACATAGAAGCGGCTACTCTTTTGCGTTAGGAGTTATGTTATTGTCGTTTAGTTTAGCTTTCATTTAGGAGTGATCCTTATTGCAATCAAGTTGTGTCAGTTCCTATTGCTCTAAGACTGACAAGACAATAGGATAAGGGAGGAACCATAGAAAGGATAAAGGCTGCAGGTAGAGCCAGAGAAGAATCCGGATAAGGGATTGGAGGCAGATTTGGACCCGAAGGAAAGAGGTCTGCGGCGGTCGGTCTATCACTTCATCTCGATGGTATTGTTGTCTAGTTTGAAAGGAACTAACTCAAGGACTGAGAAGCTCGAACGAGCAGCAGCTGCCATGCCTTGAAATTAATCCCAACAACCGGAGAGATAGATAGATAGATGGAACGGATAGAATAACTGGCCTACCTCTCCTAACTGCAACTGTTATCGCTGGTTGAACTGGCTAAGCCACCTCCACTATATAATTAATTATATAGCCTCGTCTGGTGTAGACGGATCGAGAATCTGGTATCGATGGATGGCTTCCCTTTTGTTAATTGATCTCCTCCAATCTTCTTCTTTTTTTTGGGCAAAATATGAATCTTTTCTGTAAAGGCTTGGATCCAGACAAGGAAGTAAACTACCTTCATTGATTCCAAAAAGAAAGGTTATCTTTTCCTTGCTAGGAAAGCGGGAGTTTGGCATGTACCCCCTACCGGTTTATTCCAAAAATGGTAAATAATATATCATATCATACATGTAAATCAATCAGTCCACGCATATTCTTTCTCTTGTGGCTGCTCCATATATATTTATCTATCCAATTATCCGTGTAGGAATGCCATCTTCACATCCATCTGCCAAAGCTTCCATGACTTGCTTGCAGCGAGTGCTAGTAGAACTCTGACTCTTGTAATCTTTGCTACTGGGCTAAAAGTTTCGTCATAGTTAAGCCCATACAGTTGAGAGAACCCGCGCGCAAGCATCCTCGCTTTGTACCTTTCAACTGATCCGTCTGCCCCCTTATAAAGCCATTTGCATTTGCACGATATGGGTTTTCTATCTTTTTTTCTGGGTACCAAATCCCACGTTTTGTTTTGTTTCAGAGCACTAATTTCTTCTTCCATAGCTTGCCTCCACTCTTTACGCTCCGAGGCCTCCTCATATGTACTTGGCTCTTTCACATCTTTAACTAGAGTAGCATTAGCATACTTGGGATTGGGTTTACTTCTCCTCGTGGATCGTCGTAGCATTGGTGACTGATCCCGTTCTTCTTCTTCTTCGTCTTCTATACGCTTGCTCAAACTTTCCCTCTCCAGAGGTGATTGTCGCACACCTCTTTTTGTTGCCATGGGCTTTTGGCTTTTGAACGTTCCGGAGAGCATTTGCCTTCTTCTGTAGGTTGCGTACTCTCAGTCTCCTGTTGCTCCTGTAGTTTTTTTCTTGTAACTTCTCCTCTATTTCTTGAGAATCTGGCAAGAGAACTTCCTGTGATGACCACCATGAAGATGCTTCATCAAAGACCACATTTCGAGAGACGTAGCATCGACCAGTAGTCGGATCACAAGACCTCCACCCTTTCCGTTCATTATCGTAGCCCACGAAAATGCAGCGTATTGCCTTTTTCTCGAACTTGCTTCGTAAATTATTGGGAATAAATACATAGCATACGCATCCGAATACTCGAAAATGGCTTACCGTGGGCCTAGTCTTCCATAGTTTCTCAAAGGGTGAAGTGAATCCGAGTCTTGCTTGAGGCAATCTATTGGTTACGTAGACTGCGGTCTTCATGCATTCTGCCCATTTTATCGGGGGCACTTTTTTAGCATGAAGCATACTTCTGCACGTCTCTGCCAGATGCCGATTTTTCCTTCATGAAATAAGCCCAAACGTATCTAGAATAATCATCGATGAAGGTAATCATGTAGCGATACCCACTTACTGATGTTTGCTTTACTGGTCCTAATACGTCCGAGTGAACTAACTGAAGCGACACTTTTGATTGAAAGAATCATCATAAGGAAGTTGATGTGCCTGTACGTACTGACAGTCAGCGCACACGATGCCATCTCGTACTTCCAGTTGAGGGAGACCTTTTAAAAAGGACTTGCTCATCATCACCTTGAGCTTTCCATAACTTACGTGTCCCAATCGTGCATGCCACAAATCAGCAGTTTCGTTCTTCCTCGCCTTATCTACGTACGCTGCTTCTGCTGACATTACATATACAGATTCGAGCCGTCGACCCTCCATGATCGGTGCCCCAATTGCTTTCAACTTTCTTTCAACCTTGACGTCGTTTGGCCCGAATACTACGTAATTCCCTGAAGCAGCAAGCTGAGATACAGATAGTTGGTTCTTCTTCATCCCAGGTACATGATATACGTTGTGCAGCTGTACCGGATGAGGACTATAACGAGGAACTATCTCGGTCTCACCGACGTGTGTAATTGGCAGCTTGGAATTATTGGCGGTCACCACCATTCGCTTGCTTTTCTATTCCGTTATGCTTGATAATTTCTTCTCATCTCCAGTCATATGATTGGAGCAAGCAGAATCAACAATCCAATCATTTTCATAATTTATTACTTTGTCATTTACCGAGATTAGAGTTGCCTCCTCTGGTTCTGCAATACATGAGGCTGCTAATTCTTCTTCTCTGGAATCATCTTCTGTCAGCATTTCAGAATAAATGGCAGCTGATGCTTGAAAATCCCATTCTTCTTCACTGTAATTTTTATGACTAGAGGTGGCGGCATTTCCTTCAGCTCTCTTGTACCAGCAGTCTCGAGCAAAATGACCTTTCTTCCCGCCATTATAACACTGGTTATTCTTCCGGCGATTCTTCTTCTCGTCGGGCTTGTCTCGATCTTGACAAGCTCCCCTTGCTGATAAGTCCCTCTCCCTTGTCTTCGTTGCCAACTATTTGGCCTCTTTGTTTTATTTCCTTGTGGCCGAAATTCCGTAGAACTACGACCTTTGCTATGAGAATCTCCCTTTTTCGTATAGAGAGCTTTCTCGTCATTCTTAACGGAGACTCCTGCCATTTCTTTATCCAACTCTTCTTGGTTGGCTAATATATTCTCCAACTCAACAATAGTTGGTTCCGTAGCCCAACCATTAATTGCTGTGACGAGACCATGAAATTCTGGCCTCAAGCCATGAATTATGATCCGCCTCATCCTCTTATTACCAACTGTGTACATTCTACATACGAGATGCTTCCATCAAAAAAACCGGGCCGCCGCCTGAAGCCGGAGTAAGAGTTGCCCTAAGTCCCATTTCTCGTAAACCTGCGCGAAATCAATATGGAAAGACTCGGTGGATCGTAGCATATGTTCTGCGAGCAACCAAGTCAGTCAGTGGTTCGGAGAAGCGAAGTACTTGTAAGGAACAACCACCTTTCGTCGGGCAGGGCAGCCAGCCAAGAAGAGTCGTCTTTCCCTCCTATTGACGATAGTACAGAGAGGGGCTAAGGCATAAAATATCTTATCTTATGTCCGATTAACCGCAGCTTCTTCTGTTTGCTGTGATATCGAATGAGCTCAAGTTGTTCAAGGCGCGACAGCTCTCGACCGAAGAGAGAGGTTCGAAGATCTCGACTGCTAAGGAGAGGAATGAATGGCTAAGCGTCTGATAACAGGGATCAGTACAGTCAGTTTAATGAGCATAAGCGATAGCAGATAGCAGCGATAGGGAGAGGTACAATTCACCTAAAGCTTTGCTCGATCCGAACCTTACTCCAACTAACAAGTAAGCAATTTAATTCCTCTCCTTTATAGTCGAGCAATTTCATACCTTCGTCTGTCTGCTGGTTAGGGCATCCGTTTTATTGCTTTTTAAGTTAAGTAAAGACTGACTACGAGCTAACTAATCGAATGGAACTTTCTTTATTGAAAAGAAAAGCGGAGGCCCTTGCTAGCATTGTGCATTGGAATCGATTCTTTATCAATGGCCCACCCTTTCTTTGAACCTTGTCAATGATCGAACTTAAAGATATGAACTGAGTGCCATTTGATGAGTAACTGAGAACAAGGGAGAGGGATATGGAAAGGATGAAGTAATGAAAGACGAAGTCATTGCTAGTAGTAACGACTTGTCACGATCCATTGGTTCATATAAAATCCATGTCCTAGGTGTATCAAAAAACATTCTTTTCGCTAAGCGTATATAATAAAATAGAGTGAAAGGTCCACCCCGAAAGGGGGTACTAACTAACAGCTGAGTCCTCTCCGGACCGCAGGAGATAGTTGCCCATCATACGGCTCACCAACTTAACTTGCCTCTATGGGAGACTCGCTCCGGGCAGGTTCGGATCACTTACAATAAACGGCTCTACGAAGGAAGGGGTTGGTGGGTTAGGAACGTTTTAAATATGATTATTTTTCCGTATTTGTTCGATGAGAAATGCAAGACGAAAAAGGAACCCATCTTTTCGACTGGGAAATGGGAAATGCGAGTCTGTTTTGTCCACTTTATCCATCCCTCTCTATCAAAATTATCAAGGCGAGCTTGCTTCTTATTCTCGTCTTCGATCTCTTCCATCTCTGCCCCGCTCGTTGTCACCTATGTTGAAGAAAGGTTTGGAACCCTGTAGAGAATGAGGAGGGGCCAAGGATCTTCCTCTCAACAGTGCTTCTCGGGGCTCCACTCCCCCCCCCCCCTGAATAAGTAAGGCCCCGTTAGAGCAAAATGGGCAAAGATGGGGATAGGGAATAAGGATGGAAGCCCCCTTAACTCTGCCAGGGACTGGACAGGGGTATTAGCAGTGATAGGTTAGCTACTGGTAGATGGGAATCCTACTCCGACATCGGGTCTGGTTTTGTTTTCCGGACAGTCACTCTTCAGGCTAGATCCGATCCGCTGGTATCCAAGCCTTTGACAACAGAAGGAAGATCACCACCATTCTCGGCAGTTTACTGACTTGGCAGTGACTCATTTCCTTGCTTCTTAGTTTGTCTAGGCAATCCTGTAACACGTGCAATCCTGTCTTTCACTAATGCCACTAGGCCCAATCTCCGGAACTTGGACTTGGCAGCAGGTAACAAGTCGGCTATCTGTCTTACTAATTTCTTTGTGTGTTCTTACAGTGATCCAATCAATCGGGAGTGGATGCCAGGCAAGGTAAGCATGCCACTAGCTTTCTGACTAAAAAGGGAGAATGGCGTTAACTTGAAGCAAGAATTCTTATCCAGCGAAGGTTCTCTTAATCAATTCTCTTTGAGGATTTGCCACCATCCATGAAGTAGCTGGTTCGATAGGGGACGACCAGGCTAACTCGAAGCCAAGGTAAGCTAATAGGAGAGGAAGATCCGCCAAGCGAGGAATTAGCCATATAAGACCTTTTTTTGGTTTAAGGGCTGATGCTCCTCTGAACTCGACTCTCACACTGACTTGAGTAGATGGGAAGAAGATAACTATTCCCCCTTCCTTTCTTTGTTCATGTCTTTCCAGCCGGGCGAGAGAATGGGTTGGTCTTCCTATAGATACTATAGGATAGGACTTTATATACTATACTATAGCCATGCGACGAGTGGTCCATTCCAGGCAAGAGAGTGCAGGTTAGTTCCCTTTTCTTCATTTTTCCAGTTACGAGCGGTACAAAGGAGCCTGTTGGAGTCTTAAAGCAAGCCTATCTATCCTGATCCTGCAGTCCCTGTCTATCTCTTTCCATCTAAAATCTCCAGACTCTATCGAGCCAACAGTAGCAGTCTCTTTTAAGGCAACCATTGATTAAAGACATTGCCTCTCTTCGTACTAGGGATTGGCAGGTTCATATTGTTCACGTGCTCAGAGAAGGTAACAGGTGTGCATATTTTTTAGCTCGGATGGGTTCGTCTCAGCTAGAGCAGTTTATGCCGTGGGAGTCTCCTTCTCGGCTTCTTGTAAGCCCTTCTAGAGCGTCTCTGGCTAAAAGACTAGCAGCAGCTCCCGCTAAATTACGACAACAACCCCTTCCATCTTCAATCCCTTCCCTCACAGCTCCTTCTCTGTGCGCACCGATAATTCTTCAAACTCCATTCGACTGCTAACTCTTAGCAATCTTCTTTCTTATATACTTGTAGTTCAGTTCCAAGCTAGCCAAGGGGCAATGATAAGATAAAGAACCGCTCCGCACCCTCCCTATGTGCAATGCAAGAAGTTCCTTGGCTTATAGAGGTCAATCAGTCTGCCATGTTCAGTCTAATTGCCCTACCTATAGATAGGTCTTAAAAACTCACTATTCCTAGTGTCAGAGCTAATCGACCTTAAATAAATAGTCAAGATCTTGCCCCTATGTCAGTTGGATTCGTGAAAAGAAAACAGCTCCTTCTTTGCATCAGTTACCTTGAAAGGCTTTGGCGCTTTTGTCAAAAAGTCCTAAGACCGGTAATGCCGTATGCTAAGATGCTAAGGCCAATAAATCCTTTAGGGCAATCAGTCTTTGACTCCCTTCCCCTTCTTGCCTAAGAATTCTTGCTTCAAGTTAACTTGCCTTGCTAATGGTTGGAAGTCTTAATGCTACTGTCCTTGGCTGCTGCTAGCTCCGCCACTGGGCCGACTTAAAACGGATGCCCTAGATCCCTCTCTATCCGGGTCCTAACCCTCCGCCGGAACTTGTTAGCCGACTTGTTACCTGCTGCCAAGTCCAAGTTCCGGAGATTGGGCCTAGTGGCATTAGTGAAAGACAGGATTGCACGTGTTACAGGATTGCCTAGACAAACTAAGAAGCAAGGAAATGAGTCACTGCCAAGTCAGTAAACTGCCGAGAATGGTGGTGATCTTCCTTCTGTTGTCAAAGGCTTGGATACCAGCGGATCGGATCTAGCCTGAAGAGTGACTGTCCGGAAAACAAAACCAGACCCGATGTCGGAGTAGGATTCCCATCTACCAGTAGCTAACCTATCACTGCTAATACCCCTGTCCAGTCCCTGGCAGAGTTAAGGGGGCTTCCATCCTTATTCCCTATCCCCATCTTTGCCCATTTTGCTCTAACGGGGCCTTACTTATTCAGGGGGGGGGGAGTGGAGCCCCGAGAAGCATTGTTGAGAGGAAGATCCTTGGCCCCTCCTCATTCTCTACAGGGTTCCAAACCTTTCTTCAACATAGGTGACAACGAGCGGGGCAGAGATGGAAGAGATCGAAGACGAGAATAAGAAGCAAGCTCGCCTTGATAATTTTGATAGAGAGGGGTGGATAAAGTGGACAAAACAGACTCGCATTTCCCATTTCCCAGTCGAAAAGATGGGTTCCTTTTTCGTCTTGCATTTCTCATCGAACAAATACGGAAAAATAATCATATTTAAAACGTTCCTAACCCACCAACCCCTTCCTTCGTAGAGCCGTTTATTGTAAGTGATCCGAACCTGCCCGGAGCGAGTCTCCCATAGAGGCAAGTTAAGTTGGTGAGCCGTATGATGGGCAACTATCTCCTGCGGTCCGGAGAGGACTCAGCTGTTAGTTAGTACCCCCTTTCGGGGTGGACCTTTCACTCTATTTTATTATATACGCTTAGCGAAAAGAATGTTTTTTGATACACCTAGGACATGGATTTTATATGAACCAATGGATCGTGACAAGTCGTTACTACTAGCAATGACTTCGTCTTTCATTACTTCATCCTTTCCATATCCCTCTCCCTTGTTCTCAGTTACTCATCAAATGGCACTCAGTTCATATCTTTAAGTTCGATCATTGACAAGGTTCAAAGAAAGGGTGGGCCATTGATAAAGAATCGATTCCAAAGCACAATGCTAGCAAGGGCCTCCGCTTTTCTTTTCATTAAAGAAAGTTCCATTCGATTAGTTAGCTCGTAGTCAGTCTTTACTTAACTTAAAAAGCAATAAAACGGATGCCCTAACCAGCAGACAGACGAAGGTATGAAATTGCTCGACTATAAAGGAGAGGTATTAAATTGCTTACTTGTTAGTTGGAGTAAGGTTCGGATCGAGCAAAGCTTTAGGTGAATTGTACCTCTCCCTATCGCTGCTATCTGCCGAGGCTATTCTTATTAGTTTAGTGCTACGAAGACTATCCCGTCCTAACGAGCTAAAGGGTTGTACCATTATCAAGCTAGCCATTAGGGGAAAGGGCCTAACTGAAGGGATTAAGATGCCAGTAGGAGGAGCTCACCCCATATCTTAAACTAGCTTATTCTCTTATATCATAGGTCGAGCGAGGGCCAGTATTTGCTTACTCATATATAGTAAGAGGGCTAGTTGCCACCCATATACTTTCAGGGCTAGCTTCCATTCATCCTTCACTTGTCCTTCCCTCTTCTAGCCATGGAGAGTGCCCTGTAAGCCAGTAAGGTTATTCTCTAGGACCAGTCAGAGATTTTCTTTCGTCTTAGATCAGTTCTGGAAGTGAGCAAGCAAACTAGACACGAAAACTAAGGATAGACGCGCTGGGATAGCAAGCAAGTTTGTTGAAAGAGGGGCAGGAGATTATAGATCTGCTGAAAACCAGGTTATAGGGCTGTATCTTTCCATTCTTCGGTAGGGGCATTCCCTCTTGTAGCAGTCTCAGTCCCCAATCCAATTAAAGTTGCAGAAGGTAAGCCGAGCCTGGGCATCCCGAAGAGATACTACCAGACAGGCAGGCTTAACCTGTTGAGCGGAGTTGTGACAATTCATAGAAAGAAATGCGTCATCGGCCTTCTTTGATGTTGAATTAGACTTTGTTTGTAGTACCTACTTTCACTTGAGAGAAGGAATTGAGATCCCCCGTGCTGCTTATGTTGCAATCCAAAAGATCCGCGTCATTGAAATCAACTTCTTGGTTCGTCTTAGGGGGCGATACGATTGTGAATTATCCGTCTTCTTTTACCCTTGATGCTTTGTTAATGCCACAGTTCGTTCATAGAAAGATGGAATGCTAAAAATGAAGAAGAAGTTCTTGCTCTTTCACCCTCTACAACTCGCTTTTGTTCAATTAGAAAATAAAGCAGACATTAGACAATACAGTTTGATGGAGATTTATAGCATCATTCAAGTAAATATAGATTAAGATCGTAAAAACATAAGCTTGTAATATAGCTATACGTGTAATAAGATGTTCAGGCTATTACGGAAGGTATGGTTCTCCTGGTCGACTGGCATCTTAAACATATGCGGGAGCAGGGAAGAGGCGGATATTCGCTATTTGTAACTACGTTAACCAAAGGCTCTTGAAACTCCCATAGCTTAGGGGTCGACTCCTGCTATTGGTTCAACTCAAAATCTTGGTAGTCGAATAGCCTCGTTCCTATCTTCAGGGAAGAGATTTTCTCTTATCTTAGAATTAGGTCTA